CGGAGCCCGGCCCCTACTGATGACGTCATGGCAGCGACGCCCCGCGCTCATTAGCGCCCGAGAATATGTATGAGGAGGGCGGGGCCACTCTGCGTTCCAGCCCCGCCCCCCGGTCCCCGCCCCGCGCGCAGTGCTGGTGGCGCCCGGCAGAGGGTGGCAGTCTGGCCCCGTGCCTTCGTCCGCGGCCCTGCTTGGTGCAGGACAGGCCCGTCCACATGTGAATCCTGCGGAAAGAGCACACGACGTGGGGTTTCCGCATCTTCCACGCCTTCCTTCTGCAGGAGGGTGCCGTGTGCTGTCACGCCCGGGTACCAATGACTTACCAGCCTGAGGAAAGGCCACCCAGTGCCATTGTCCCCTCCACCAAAGGACCTGTCAGGACAGGCTCAGATCAAGCGTAGCGACTTCTTAACCTGGCACGTATCTGGGTCCAAGGTAGTTTTCCTGAACCCCTCTTCTGGCGCGGTTCGGTACCCAGCCAGAGGCGCAGCAGCTTTAAACCCAGTTTATGGAAATGGGAGTCTTCTCCCTCACTTGCTCCAAGGGCCTTATGGCAGCCAAACCCCAAACCTCTGGGCTTGTGCTTGCACATAAGACGCCTGCCAAAGCTTTTGGAAACATCTGAAGCCCCAGGTGTGGGTGGAGGATGTTTGCCTGTAGTAGGGCCACGTATGGTTTTGGACTCTTGGATTTGGATTAGACAAATTATATTAACAAACAAAAAACCTGTCAGTAGCTGGTAGCAAGTGGACAAGTCCATCTTGTTGTTCATGCAGGTGTTGTTACTTACATCGTCCTGCTCACACAAAAGGTCAAGATCCTTTTTGTACTACAGGCATGCATGTTTGGTAAGTGGGTTGTAAGTGGGTTCATTTGGCCCCATTACAAAAGACTGGAGCAGCTTTTTCCTTAAACACAACCACGCCAGGGCGTGGTGAGCTACAAGCACAGCACTGATGAACTCAGTGCATACTGGGAAAAGCTGACACCTCTTTCCTGGTGCCTCAGCAGAGCAGAAAAGACTGGGGCCAGAACGGTGCCAGCACCCCCTGCTGCAATGCAGGCTGGGAAATTCTGTGGCACAAAGTAGTGTTTTTCAGCCTGTGGTCCATGGGCCCCTGGGGTGCTACAGGCTAAGTCTAAGGGGTCCACAAAAGATGACTGATAAATCAAAAGTAGATGAATACCCACACTTAACAATTCAAAGGGGTCCACACCTCCATTCAAAATTTTTTAGGTATCCGCAAATGAAAAAAGGTTTAAAAACCACTGGCATAGAATAACCTGCAAAGAAGCACTGGTATACATAGCAAAACCATGTGTTAAACTGGTACCAGATAGCATGATGTTAACACAGGCCTCCACCACAGAAGATGTGTGTTAAGCCTGAGGGGTTACCACATTGGAGTCTTCTTCATATTTGACCATAATTTAATTTAGCCATAGACAAGGCTGACTCAGGGCTTTGGGTCTACTTATTCATGAGAAGCCTCCAAACCCTGAACCCAGGGGACAGCAGAAAGCCAAGCAGCTTGACAGCACAGAGGCTCCACTGACATTGTGGAAGCTCTGAGGATCTTACGGAAGTGGTTGTTGACCTTGTGGTCTGAGAGATTGCTGATCTAAGCACTGCACATGGAAGAGGAAAAAGAATGGGCTTGTGATTAAGGCACTAAACTATGGGTGATATTACACTTAGACTGTGCTAAAGGCACTTAAAATGCAAGCATCTGCACAGTAAAGCTTGTTACCTCATGTTAAGTGCCCTCTGAATGCCACTTCAGACAAGGGTTAACTCTGGGCTCTGCTACCTAGCTCATGTTAGGGCAGGGGCAGGCAATTATTTCAGGCGGAAGGCCGCTTACTGTGTTTTGGGAAGCCATTGAAGGCCACATGACTGGCAGCCAGGGACAGATAAATACTAATTTTCTAGATTTTTTTAGGGGCCCCGCGGGCAAGATAGAATGGCCTGGAGGGCCACACCCAACCCACAGGCCACATTTTGCCCACCCCTGTGTTAGGGTAACTTCAGTCTGCACCACAGAGATACAACAAGCAATTTGCAGCCCTCCGGCATCCCACAATGCACTGCTCCCAGCAACTCCTCCCCCTACCACCCAGAGCAGGGATAGAGCCCTAGTGTTCTGGCTTCTAGCAGAGTCCCTGCTCTCCAGACCACTAGTGGCAAGTCAGAGCTGTGGAAGCAAGAAATTATATTAACCCTTAACATGCAACTGTTCACAGTCACCACCACCAGATTGGGTGGTGGGGGAGGAAGCACTTTACCAGCAGAGGACTTGCACTGGTTTGACCCAGGTCCCTAGCATCTGTATAGCTCACATGGTACAAAAGGGCTTTTTGGTGCTTTTATCTAATAGCCAATTCAATCAGCTATTAGATAAAAGTGCCAGAAAGCCCCAGTGAAGCATGTGGGCTATACAGACACTGGGTGAACCAAGTCAAACTGACATGATTCCTCTTCTAGGCATGAGCTGCGCTCAGTGCAGGGGCACGTGGAGATGAAAGTAAAGCACTAGTTTGGTTTTTTTTCCATGCCTGTAAGCTGCGAGCATGTTCCGACTTTAACGCAGCTTAATATACCACAGATTTAGTATGGTCCAAGTGTAATGTGTAACTTCTTCCTAGGAGGCAGGAGACAGGCTTCATTTTCCAGCTCTGTTACTTTTTGCCTGTGTGATTTGGGGGGGGAAAATCACCCGGTGCCTCAGTTCCCACCCGCAAAAACAGGGATAAGGATACTTCTTTCCTCCCCCCCTTTGTTTATTTAAGCAGGCAGCTCTTTGGGGAAAGGACAGACTCTCGCCCAAAGCTTGAACAGCACCTAGCACATCTTGGCTAACACTGCTTGGTGCTGCTGTTCTATATACCACAAAATACCACCTCCACACACAACATGGCAACCACCTCTGCTTTTATAACAAGCCCAGGAAAGCCCTGTAGCATTTTCAACATGTCCTGTTTCAAGTGCTTTTATTTCAAAACTGGAACAGTTTCCCCATTTGTTTTACAAGCAGGGTTTTTTTCTTAAATAAAATTAATTTATTCACAGAACATTAAACTTCTCCAGATCTTTCCATATTTACAAATTAACAGTTTTGCTTGTTGATCATTCATTTCCCCATTCCTTGTCCCTGCTGACCTGAAAGGGACAAATAAAGCAGCCAACACAGGGAAGTCTTCAAAGCAACACTTCCCCTCTATCCCAGGAGCTGCTGAGCCTCTTCCAAGATCAATATGGCAGTGGCTGTGCGATATCTAGATACTCCTCATCAGTTCCTTGTGTGCACACAAAGCAGGTCTCTATCAGGCTCACTGACTGAGGAAACTCTGTCTCTCCCTGTAGCACACAGTACCATGCTTCTGGATATTGCACAGACTTCTTCATATAATCGCTCATTCCCAGGCTGGGCAGTTATGATGCACAATTAAAAAGAAAAACCCAAATCAAATAAAAACACACCCAGTGTCCCCTCTGAATTCTGACAGCAGGAGCAGCCGCAAGCACCAGCGGGCAGGCTACACTTGGGTGTTCTGGGGCAGGGGCGTCTGCATGGCATGCCAACCTGCCATGCTTCAGAAGCACAACCCTTGTGGCTCAGAAGACAGGCAGCTGGCTCAGAAGCCACGTCCTTGGCCTTTACAAAGGTGGGAGAGGTGGAACTAAGGGAACAGATACGGGGACATGCTCTTGGCTCATGAAAAGGCACACATACACAAAAAGAAAACAAAGCAAGCAAGCCTTTACTCGAGGGCCTTGATGTGGAGCTCTGGTTTTGCTGAGACATAAGCCTCATACTACATGAACTGTCTATGCTGCAGTCTATTGTGGTTGCTACTCATGTAGGCCAAGCTGTGCTAGCTTTCCATTAGCCAGCTTGGGTACTACCAGCAGCAGCACTATTGTAGCACAGGGATTGCTGCTGGCTGCAGAACCCACCCAAGAAGCTGGGGAAAGATTCAGGTGATCACAGCAATGGCTGTTACATAACTAAAGCCAAAAAGAGGGGATTTATCAGTGCAGAATACTCATGCACCAAGTGCTCCTCATATGGACACAGCTCATCTCAACAGAGTTGCACTCTGCACAGATACAGTACAACTACCCCTTGCACACATACACAGAACAAACTATACTGCTATAAGTGTTGTTTTGCTAGCATAACTACAGTGACACTTGGGGCTTCTGCTGTGTCAGTCAAGAATCACACCTTTTTGCACACCTGACTGGCAGAGCTATGATGGCAGAAGGGTCTGGCCTTAGGGTGTGGATGCAGGGCTGCTGGTATAAACAGGTCTTATACTGATATGGCTTACTGCCCTTCCCAAATAGGAATTACTCTACCAGTAAAAGCCACATTTTACTGAACTACACTCGTGGTTGTTCTTGTCCACCTACTCCAATTGAACTACAAAATCACCCCCCTTTCCCATATACAGGTGACCCTCGCCATTTGCACGGGATATGTTCTCATCCCCCACAAATGGTGAAATCCACAAATAAGGCACTGAGTTCATGAATGCCGCCTGTGTTCATGAACTCAGTGCCCCCAGCAGCTGGGGGAGCAGGGGCATGGCTGCTCTGGCAATGGCAGGAGTGCAGCAGCAATGGGAGCCCAGCAGCAGCAGGCATGCAGCTCCCAAGGAGCAACTTTAGGTGTATTTAAGAAGTGGGTTCAGCATTCTCAAATATTTGAAACCGTGAATGCTGAACCCAGGAATAGTGAGGGTTTCCTGTAGTTATAGCAGTACAAAATATGTGGCCCAGACAGGTCTTATATGCTGCCTTGGACAGACACTCAGGGAGGAATGTTACTCAACTTCCAGTGTGAACAACCCATATTCATTGTGCCCCTCAGCTGGTCTGTCTTTAGATGCAGCAGGGAACAGGCCTCTCCTCTCTCTGGTTCTCTCTCCTCAGGCAATTAGGTGTCATGGACAGCATTTTTAAAAGCAAGCACTGGCTTTGGATACCTTAATTTTCAAAATACCTCCAAAAATGAGGCTCCAGGGGTGTTGCCAGTAGGGGATACAATAAATGAAGTACACAAAATTAGTGGCTACACTTGCCACTTTGGGGCTAAGGAGATTTAAAAAAACAAACAAACAAACAAACAAACAAACAAAAAAACCACAAAAAGATTTGTCCTTAAAAGCTGGGAAATTTAGAAGCAGCCACCTCACTCAGAAAGAGCACTTAGAGTGGGCTCCTGCTAGCAAGGAGAGTAGAATGGAGAGCCAAGAGCTAGGATTGGGATGCAGCCAGGGACTTCCATATGGGTGTACAAACATGAATGAGACACATGCACACTGGCACTCACACTGGTGTTACCAGGAAACTGCTGGCCAGCTTGGAGGGAGTCCACAAAAGAGCAGCAAAAAAAAATCATCAGTGGCCTGAAAGGAACTGAGGGGAAATTCCATATCAACAGGCCACTTGTATTTAAGCTAGTGAAGGATACACATCCATACTGTTTCCATGGTGCTCTAGAGAATGCTGTAGAGAAGCGCGGCCCTGCCACCTACTCTGTGTGCACTGAACCCAGGAATGAGGCAATTAAGCTGCTCTGGGAATGCCCCCACTATCATTCTTGAGCTCTTCATCTCCATCCTGTGAGATAGCCTCACTGTCCCATTCCCTGGTTTGGCATGTGCCAACCAGGGGTGGGTGAGCAGGGGTGTGTTTCTCAGTGGCGCCCTCAAGATGACTGCCCTAAGAGATGGCAAGGGCAGGATGACAGTATCATGCCTTGCAAATGACTTGAGACTTTTAAAACTAAGGAGGAAAAGGAATGGGTCAGTTCTTCAGTTAAGTTATCTGCAGTGGACACTCCTACCATAGCAATAGACTGGGGCTAGCTAGGCCTTTCCATCACGGCTCTGAGGTGTGCGTGGGTGGGTGTTGTCTGCTAGTTGGCTCAGAGAGTTGTGTCACTCACAAGGCCACTTTAAGCCATTACTGCCCTGCACTGGTTTGTTTGCAGAATTCAAGGTAACCATCCCCAAAGAGAAGTAATGGTTTGAGGTGACCTAGGCTGCAGTGGGAGCACGTCCCCCTCTATCTATCATGGAGACACATGTAAGTGCTTCAGCCATAGAGAGCACAAAGCAAGAGCAGTATAAATCAAAGCCATAAAGTCCTATTCCAGGAGAATCATTGCAGTTACTAGACTCAAATGGAAAGGGGAATGTCTCAGTTGGATTGGTGGAGGAGCCACCCTGGCCAGGAAGAAAGGGGCATACAGCACAAGCAGTCAAGAGCTCTTGGAGGGCAATGATGGCCCTAAAACAGGCTCCATAATGGCACTGATATCTTCAGCCATCCAGGTTTCAAGCACAATGAAGCAGTGCAGGTGTTTGGTAGGGGTCTCCGACATGGTGAGATTCAGCAGCAGTGAGCTTCCACAGTTGCTGGCGGTTGCATGTCATCCATATCTCAGCGCACACAAGAAAAGGAGAGAATGGCCTCTGTCTATTGCTGGTGGCAGAAGGAGCTGGAGACTCTGACAGTCCCAGTTGAGGCAAGTCAGACTCTAAGGCGAGGGGAACACCAGAGAGGAGGTCCAGAATGGGGCTGGCCCAAGGCTTTGGGCCTTGACGATATGTAAACATCCACTGTGGGGGAGACACTGGAGAGAGAGCCAAGGAGGCCGGCTCATTGCTAACAGCATAAGCATTCCCACAAGCAGCGTCTCCATGGGAAAAAACCCCAAACAGAGGCTTTGACTCCAGTCCACGAGTGTTCAATAGAAAGAATATTGATTTTCAACCGCCCTGGTCCTGTTGCGCGAGCCTTCGCTCTCATGATAGTCCTCTGTGCTCACACTGGGCGACTCCAGCAGGCGCTCAACACTGTTGCTGCGGCTCCGGGTGTTCAAGGTCCCCTCCATCCGGTGGTACAATGGGTGGCTGGAGGAAGAGGAGGAGGAAGAGGCAATAGCACCTTCTGAGGGAGATGCAGGCTGGAAGGCGCCTGGCACAAAGCTGGAGAAGTAGTGTTGGGATGGGAGGTCATGCCTGCAGCTGGGCTGCTGAGAAGCAATGGCCTGGGTGGGGCCAGTCTCTGAAAAGTTAAACACAAGAGTGCCACAGTCACAGACAACACAGGAGAAGCAGTGGCTCCTTCTCCCTCAAAGAACCAACACCATCCCTTGTTCTCAGAGGTGATGCTTCTCCCTGCCCTGCATAAACCCAAAACACCATCAGGCTGTGTAGGGATCTTGCTGGAGCTCCTGTGTATAACAAGAGCTTCAGAAGCCAGTGAAGCTCAGCTGCTTTTCTTGTCAGCACTGAGTCTGTGGGGCCAGCTTGCAGGGGGTACATAGTAAGTACCAGTGCTGTGACACTGTTCCCTCCTACCCTAAGCTCCACAGACCTCTGTGAGTTTGGGTGGGACGCACAATCTGTCACCTTCCCACCAACCTACCAGGCCACCAAGCAACGTCCACCACAGATGCTTCCAGCTTAGTGAAACAGGGTGCTTTCTGCTGTGGCAGGAGGTTGGGGTGAGAAGACAGCAGCTGGTGAAGGTTGCTGTCACCATCTGAGGGATCATGGCAGTGAGGTGTACTGGTGATAGCACAGAGCTCTCTGGGATAGAGTCAGGGGTCTTGGTGGGCTGGGCTCTATGCCATCTGCTCTGGGGATGGGAGAAAACCTGCCTCACTGGGGAAAAAAGTTGCTGGCAACACCAGACCCAATCTCAGGGTTAACCAAACCAGTGATGGACTACATATTTTATTAGAGCCCTCACTGCTGCCTCACTTTGGGGAACAGGCTTTTAAAAGCCTTCTCCCAGTGTGGAGGCAGCTTGATCCCAAGCCATTAATCACCTCTTACTTCAGTGCTGCTTGGAAACATTCAGCCCCTCAAGAGCCTCCTGACCAGACACCAGGGAAGAACGCCCGTGATGAACTGCTCCCCGGCCCACTGAGGTCGCCGGTAATAAAATCCTCTCCCACAAGGTGGCAACTGATCACCTCTCAAGTGACTTCTCTCCCTGCTTCACTGAGCTTGTACGGTGCAATAAGCCACTCAGTACACTCCTTATCACTGGAGCAGAAAATACACATCCTGGGCCTCCTCCCAAAGCCCTTCTTCCTGCTTCACAAGGGAAAGGCAGAATGGTGAAGGCAGCCGCGCTGAGCAAACCCCCAGACTTTCAGATCTGCTAGAGGCAGCAACTCTATGGTTTAGAGCTTTGTAATACTCTATGGTTTAGAGCATCAGCAGTGTGGCTCACCAGCAGTCAGGACTGTACCCAGGGCAGTGGAATCCCAAAATATTAACGTCTCTTCTCTACATACCTCAGTCACAATCCAGCCACGGGCAGAGTCAGAAGTGCACGTGGAGCGAGTTACAGATCCAGGCACTTGCAGTTTGTTCTAACCATTCATTATGTGACTCACAGCTTCCCTGCCCCTCAGTCTTTCCCTCTGTTAAGTGGGGTTTTAGTTTCTGACCCGCTTTTGTTCACTGTTTCGAGATCCCTGGTTTAAAGGTGCTATATTTTATTCTGCTGCAAAAGTGGCCTGGGTGGTAAAACACCCAGCCCACCCAAAAAGGCCCCGTGTGTAAGACCTGTTTTAATTCTGGCCATGCTGGCTAGTGGCCGGAACAGCTCCAGATCTATAAGACTCCTAGGCCCAACCTTCAAGGGTCAACATGTAGCCAACACTGCAAAAGCAACAGCCTAGTTTCTGGAAAAGACTGTTGGTGGGAGAAGGCCTTTTTTTTTTTTTGGACAGTTACAGGATCTCAGGAAATCCAGTCCAAGCATACTTATCATAGGGTGTGGACACTCGCTTGGAGCCCTTCCACAAGACAAACATTTTAAAAGCAGGTTCTAATTGTTGTGTGTGAATGAGCTGAGAACAATTCAAATGCAGCAAACCTATTCCAACTCTAACCCTGGATGAAGCAGCGTTCATTCCCCTTCGCAGATGGCTCTAAGCCTTTGAGTTTCCAACCCATAGAAATAAAAGCCCAGCTCCCAGCAGACCAGGGCTCTGTGGACATTTACATCCCTCTCAGACTTCTGCTCTCAAGCATGGCTGTGTTACAGGGTGACCTACCAGGCAGGGGGCTCTGTGCCACCACGTAGCTGCGGAGAGTAATGTCAGCAGAACCGCCGGACTCCAGGGGGATGGGGTGGGTGTGGAAGTGCCGCAGCATGTCGAAAATGGTCTGGAACCAGAGGTGTTGGACGTGGCACTGGCCGGTCTCATTCAGGGAGAGCCGTAGATGCTGCAAGGAGTAGCATACCAGGGTCAGGAGCCTTCACAAGGCAAAGCAGACAGGCAGGCTAAAGGAGGTAGCTATGGACAGGTGCGTGACTTCAGAGCACACCTGCTGCCAATGCTTCATGCACCTCATTTCCTACACGTGATGGATAGGACATTGCCATCTGCTCCTCCCCACACTGAGGTGGCCACTAGTCTCCAAACATAACCCCGCTCTTCTGCTTCACTAAAGATTTGGCTCAAAACAGGAAGATCTCACATTTCAGAGCATTTTGTGGGAAACTGTTTGGCTGCCAAGCAACAGTTGCTATGACCCATTCAGAACCCGACGGGCTGAGGAAGCTGCCCTTTTGAGCTGTGAACAGCATTCAACAGAAGTGCTCCTTGAGAAAGAGGGGGAATCAAAAGCAAAGGCTCTTTCAAAGAAAATCTGGGAAAGTCTTTAAAGAAGAGAGGCTGCACACGGAGAATGCACAGTGAGGGGCCTGTGCTCCAAGTCAGTCACTGACAAATGCTTCCAGCTGCACACTACCATGACACTGAACAGCAGTACAAGGCATCGGCTGAGAAATCAAGGGCTCTCTCTCTGCCACTTACCACTGTGGCTTGGCCTGCTAAACTGTTACAGTGGTACCCCTAGGAGGGCAGTGTTGTTCACTGAAACTGTCCAAGTAGCAAATCCCTCAGTTAAGCCCAGGATCCACCTGCGTTGGTCTTCACAAAACTCTGACATGCATATTTATTAATAAAGTCCAGGAAAGTACTGATAAAGCCTATATATAAAACACGCCCTATGGCAGGGAAGGGAAGGGAAGAGCCCTGCAACACTGAACAAGGAGGAATCCCCTATGGAGACTGCTGGACACAGACAGATCCTGTGGGTCTCTTGGCTTCTGAAATGAGTGGTGCCCCGTGGAATGAACTGCTGACTACGCATTGCACTCTGGTGCTTTGGCATGCCCTCGGTTATCCGACACAGGCAACAACCATGGGAACCAGAGGCCACTGTTAACCTGGCCAGAGGCTCCCATTGGGAGCTTCCTGTCTGTCCCTGCCTTTCTAACTCACCCCTGGCCCTGAGACAATGTCTGCAGGCTACAAGGCAGCTCTGCCTAGGGACTTAACCAGGCTTCTGCCGAGTCAGCATACTAGCATGAATAGCCAGGAGGCCCTTCTGTCCATGGAGGAACCAGGCTGAGACTGCAGCCCTCGCTGCCACGTGGTCCTCAGGGGTAACAACATTTAGTCATTACTGAGCTCAGCTGAATTCAAACTGGTGACCTAGAAGCCAAAAGCTTTGCCACACATTGACTCATCCAGGCCCCTGACACAGCTTCTCAGCAGACCACAGTTAGGCAGCAGTGCTGTCTAGCAGAATGGCAAGAATTAGAGCAAGTTGCCATCCTTGTTATACAGTGAACATGTTTAATAACAGCAGCACCTGCTCTCTCTTTAGAGGCCTGGAACACCACCAGACAGCCCTGCTGTCCCAGAAAGGAAGTGTACATGTATTGCTCACTGAGAGCTCTTAATTCAGCCAACATCAATGGCAAAACTTTGCTAGCTTCAGAAGTCTAGTTCTAACAAGATTGGAGAGTGATAGTAATTCCCACCAGCCTTAAATGTCTGTGAATCTACTAAGTCAGACACAACCGTAAGTCCCTGTATTCCCTACCATATAAAAGTGCGTCCTCCTCCCAAAATTATAGTCCAAGACAAACCTTCCCTACCTCACAGAGTCCTGTTAGCTTCAGGGGGACTGATGGCTGCACTAGCCTGCATAAAGGGAGCAGGAGTTGGCATGTGGACTAAAGCATCTCTTCTGACATCTCTGTGGTAGTGTCAGCCAGGAGGCTGGTTCAGCTGGGTTGTTTTCCATGCACTGGTATCCAGCTATGGAAGTCCTTGCTAATCAGGCAGTAGAAGGTTTCAGCTAAAAGGCCTGAGTGCTTCTCCAGCAGTCCAGAGGGGAGGAGCATTCCTTAATCTCTTTGGAGCCCTGCCTGCTTTTTTTTTTTTTTTATTTTAAGATTCATGAACTCCATCAATGTATGTATTGAGAACTGGGATGTTTGGGAGAGGACAGCATGAGGAAAAGATCCAGAGGGATGATGAGTACCCACGGTACTCCCAATTTCAGATACAGTTGTGGTTGCTCAGTGGCTTTCAGGATTAGGCCTGTAATGAGTTGCCAAGGCTAAGGTGTACCTTGGGATGGCCTCCGCCACTCCAGCCCTGCAGAGTCTGGGGTGAGGAACATCATTTCAAGGAACATCTCTTTTCCCCTTCCCCTTATCCTAGCCCAGAGTCTGGCAGAGTAGCTGCTGGACTCTAGTATACCCCTGCTGTTTTTAATGGAGAGAGGGGAGTTGCACTCTTAGTTCTGCCACATACACCTCCCATCCTGTTTAACCCTTTCTAATTCTAGCTGCAGTATCATTCATGCAAACTGCATTTTTCTTTAGCCCATCAGACCAAGAAATTCTGCAGCTGGTGCCAAAAGGTCAATATTCCTCTCCACAGGAGATTAACTAGCAGTTTCACCAGGGAATGACTAATACTTCTCTCTCAAGTCTGGAGATCTGCAAGAGATACTGCTACCACATGGCTCAGTTCAAGCAGTCAAGCAGAAATAGGACTAAGGAAAAACAGAGACTCAAAACACTCCAGAAAGGAAGGTATCAGCCCAGTTTTACAAGTGAGAGAGAGAGATGAAGACAGAGGGATTGAGTGATTTGCCCTGCATCACTGCATGAGTCAGTGGCAGAGCTAGGAGCAGGATACTGATATTCAGAGTAATCCTCTAGACCAGTGGTTCACTCAGTGCAGCCCTTTGAATATGCCACTCTTTATGTTTTCACTTATTTTTTGACTGCAGAAAAGCATTAAAGTAATTCTTCTGTTGCAAAGAACTCAGGAAGCCCACAACAGGGCAGAATGCTTTTAACACTATGGATTCCTATTGGAAATCTCTAGGTTTATTTTGTGAATCGTGTTTGTGCAGCTAACTGTGCTAACATTGTGTGACACCATTAGAAGGATCTCAAGGCACTCCTGCACTAGGCCATAGTACCAAGTTCTTCTGCTGTGGTCTCTTCTCCAGCCCAACAATCCTGTGCTCTCAGCCTCTCACTGGTTTGCAGACTAGCAGTCCCACACTGGTTCTGACACTTGGCTGTGCTCTATAGTGCTATGGAGTGAGGTCAGCAGCTTTACACAAGGGGTGCTGGGAGGGCTCTATGAGTAGAAATGCACAGTCCATTCATCATGCAGGGGCACACGAGACAGACACTGCATAAAAATGATCTGCACAAGACAAAGAACCAGCCAGCAAGAACAAAAAGGCAGTGGGGCGTCGAGGGCGGGGGAGGTGGAGGAAAAACAGGGCTTGCTCCGATCTTCCTAATGCAATGTCCCTGGTGGGCTGGCACCAGGACAAATAACTGCCAACGCTATTTCTTTAAAACCCTCATCTCATAGCAGAGAAGCACAAGCTGTCAAACTTCTGGGGTGCAACTCCACACCTCAGCATTTCCCCAACACCAGGTTTGTTTTCCCTGCAGCCAGCCTGAGCACCCCAGTTGCACTGACTGCATCCTTCTGGATGGGCACTAACATTCAGGAGCTGAGCCCACACCCAAACCTGTGCAGCCATTAGCAAGCTGGGTAACCTCTGAAGAATTGGGGGCAGAGGGGAGAATGCTGTGAGATCACCAGGCACTTTACTACCTGTTCATTATATCTGGGACTGGCAGGGACCCTTAAGCAGCATTTCGTACCAAAAAACAGCTTTCAACTCCTCCTTTCTGTTCCTCCAGGGATGCCCTTTGTCCTTGCCCGATGTGGAGCTGCTCTCTTTCCCCCATCAGTGCTAGTCCCCAATGGCTCATGGTGGTTATCCCTCAGCCTCCACCACAAAAGCCCCTGGTGCTTATCTTATCTTAACAAAAGCACCAGGAAGTAAATTCCAACTCTGGCAGCTACTTAATATGCCTTCTCTCATTTTCAGTGGGATGCTGTTTCCCACTATCACTCTTTGTACTGAAGGGTGGCCATACAACAGAGTGCATTTCCATGGACTAGTAAATAGTCCTGGTGTTCAGGCTTACCTTCACCTGCTGGCCCCTAGATCAACTGACTCTTCAAATAGTCCTGACCTCACCTGCCCGTGGCTCTGCACGCTGCCTGGCCTTTCAAAGTGACAGGCACCTCAGATGCCCTACCACAGGAGTTAGCCTGATAGAGACCCTCTTCCATGGGAGAGAGCAGCCTCAGGGTTGTACAACACAGCTGCTCTGATGCTGTCCCTGCAACTGGGCAAGTGTTATTGCTGCATTAAGAGAGATGTAACAACAGCAGCAGCACTTACCTTTGCTTTCCCCTGGAAGTTAAAGGTCAGCACATACTCGCCCGGGCGAGTCTCACTTTGCCGAATGACAAACAGACCATGGCTCCTGGTACCCCCAAAGAGCACCAGCTGGGCAGCTTTAATCCGTGACAGTGTCCCATGGAACCAGGGGAAATCAGAGAGGTTGACTTCCACTTCTGTCTCACTTTCATCACCTGGCACAGGCAGAAAGAGTTAAAAAAAGGGGAGGGGGCAGCTGAGAAAGGAAAGCCTTTACTGTTGAAAAGGAGATGCAGCAGTAGTGCACAGGCTACCCAGAGGAACTCCTGGCTGCTCAGGCAGGAGGACGTCGTACTGAGGTACACAAGGCAAGCTGGGAAGCCAGTGCCTAAGTCAGACTGGATGCTGGGGTTTGTAATAGGCACCGGGAATACACTTGTGGCTAGTGGGGGACAGAGCTACTCCCATCAAATTCCACTGGAAATGCCACGTGGCAGAGAAGGAGAGTCCTGGCCCAGGGGTCTGCAACGTTTCTGGGCACAGTGCCAAAAATACCCACAACCTCAACCTGTAATATGTGAGCATGCCAGGGGCAGATGGTGGGGGAGCCACAAGGGGCCTGATCCTTGTTGTGGCAGCACAGCCCCAGCCCTTTCCCCAAGGCACATGGGCCAAGCAAAATGTCTTTGCATGCCACTCTCTAGCACATGTACCAGGGCTTGCCTACCCCTGTCCTAACCTTTTGCTAAAGCCAGTTTAGGAAAGAGACTAACTTGGCTGCACCCCACCACCCAGGCCCTCCAGGTACCTGCTAGATGACTGCTGGTGGCTGGCGACTCCAGAGTCTGCAGGAAGTTCTCCAGTGGAACGTGAGTCAGATGCTCCCCTGAGGAGTCCCTGACCCTGCCGTGTGGTCCTGAGATGATGGTGGCTGTGGCAGCAGGTGGGGCAGCATTGTGGAGGGGAGGCATAGTACATCTGTCTGAAGGCCTGTGCACGTCTGAAAGGGATTCAGATGTTAATGGCTTAACATGTTGAAGCTCCTTCTGCAAATCAATGCAGGACCAGGGCTAACAGTTCTAGGGGGTATGTTGTCTGTGCCCTCTAGGCAGAGAAAACCAGCTGATGCCCTGACATATTTCAGATTAGTTAGTGCCCAATGTCTGTAGGGGACAGGCATACCAAAAGCAGAAGCACTTCAAGCCTACTCCACCTCACCCTGTCAGCAAGCTCTTACCCGGGCCTGAAAGGGCCCCTTACAAATAGCAAAAATGATACCGTTCAGCAGATGGCTGCTCTGCTGCGACTAGGAAGTGGACTAAGATTCAAACTCATGTCCTATACCACAGGTAGCAGAGGACAACAGCAGAAATGGGCCAGATTTGACGGAGTAACCTAGAAGTGTTCCATGCGCTAGCCTCACTCCTCCTGGGAGCCATCCACTTCTGTAGGAATAGACAGAAGAGGAAAGCTGCTGAAGCCAAGCTAGGGTCAGCTACAGGCCACATGAGAGCTAACCACCTTCTCTCCATTTTAGTAGACTGTGAATTGATTAGTTATTTAGTTTGTAATGTCTGAGAGGCTGCATGGAAAAAGATAGGCCACAAAACACAACAGAGCTCCCCCCACCTTTTATGAAGTTTCCTTTGTCATTGGTAATATTCACACTTCAGAAGCCAGCCTGACACCCACAGACACCCAGCATCTGAAACTGAGACATCTGGCAATTTTCTCTGGCCATCCTTACCATCAGACAGAAATTCACAGCTGCAGGAGGACATCCTGCCTGGCAGACAGGCTCCCTGGGCACAGGAGGCAAGTTCAATATCATCTCCGCTGTCCCTACAAGGAAAAAGCAAAGCAGATGGTCCCTCATGGGGTGTCACTCTGCAGACACATGCCTTGCCTTGAGGAGGAATTTCCATTTGCAAGCAGAAATGGGGACTCATTTGGCTAATCCAGCAATTCTGGTTAAACCTTAGTTCCACATGCGCAGTTGCATGCTCCTAAAAAGGCCAGCACATGACATTTGCAATGCTTATCATTTGCTCCTGAAGGATTAGCCAAATTCACATAGGGGAGGTACCTGCAGCATCAAAAGGCACAGCAGAGAAGCGGAGGACAAGGCTGTGACTAGATATCAGATACTGAAGCCCCATGCAGACGTGCAGGCCTACCCTGTCAATTCACATTGGCATTTGAACTTTATTAGGGCTGTTCAAGCAACAGAAAAAATAGGATCAAGTTAGGGCTGGCTGAAAATTTTCCATCAAAAACAGCTCACTGAGAGAAAGTTGCAGCAAAACAACTTTAGGGGAAAGCCCAGGCTTCTAGAGGAAAATTTTGCAAAATATTTTGATCTAAATCTTTTGGGGTTTTGGCCAAAAACTGTTGCTTTTTGAGTCTTCAGGTAAAACTTGCATCAAAAACAATAGTGATTTTGTTTTCATCCAGTGTTTCCACAGGATGATGTCTAACCTAAATCTGGACCAACTCCAGAGGAATTCTGGACCAACTCCAGAGACAGTGTCAGAGGGACAAGGTAGGTTCAAGCAGAGGGGAGGCTCTGCAGGCAGATCCTGAGGATCAGAGGCTATTGGTTATGCTCTGTTGTTCTTAAGAGACTCCCAGAAAGGCTGGGTGTGTGCAGACTGAATGGAGAGCAGGGTAGTGGCTAAACCTATTTGCAGATACATACGGTGTTATGAAGAACAGGGTGCTGAGCTGCTCACAGGGATTGTGTTGAAATTGGCCTCTTTATCAGGCTTCCCTGCCAAATGAACACTGGTAGCGTGTTCTCAGTGTGCAGGCAGCTCTGCTGCCAGAACTGCACTTTGCTCTGCTAATGTCAAGCCACCTTCTGTGCAGGACGCGAGAGTGTGGTCAGCACCACTGTGTCTGCTCTAGAGGCTCTGCCAGCACAACTAGGCCTGTGGGATTACACCTCTTTACGACCCTGATGAATAGAGCTACAGTCGCTTTCATTGCTTTGGCTCATGTTCCCCATGCGGCCCACTGTCTGTCCTCTCCTAGCTCTATTTTGGCATGCACCTTCCTCGCCACCACTCTGACAGGCCTCGCCTGCCTGTTCCCCTGAGTCTGCACTAGTGGCCTTTGATTTCCTATGCAAGCCCAGGCTTCCCTCTTTGCTTCCAGCTGTGAGGCAGTTCATAGCTACCATTCCTCTCCCAAGAAAGGCCCTCTACCTCCTTGTCAAATCAGCATAGCCATTTTAATTTATTCTGTGACTCCTCTCCCCCTGCCATTAGGAGTGCGGGTTTATGTGACCTGCCTGAGAGACCAAGCCTAGTGTCAGAAGCCCTGAACCTCCATGTCCTGCACAGACCTCAGCTGAGCACGGACCCTCCCATCACAAGGCAGCCTCCAAGACCCACGAGCAAATACTAAAGGGCCATCCTGTTATCAGCAGGGATCCTGGTTTTCTCTGTTTAAACATTCCAAATTCTCCGATTAAAAAAAAATCCCAAATTCTCTGATTAAAACCCCCCAAATCTACAATTTTTCTGTGATTAAAATGAAACCACTATATCCATAGGGATCAGTTGAACACAACATTCATAGATTTATAGGTGTTTGGGTCAGAAGGGACCTTAGCAGATCATTAAGTCCGAAACTCTGCCCTGTGCAGGAAAGAGCGCTGGGGTCAGACGACCCTAGCCAGGCGCACGTCTAGCCTCCTCTTAAAGACCCCCAAGGTAGGGGAGAGCACCACTGCCCTTGGAAGCCCATTCCAGGTTCAACCCTTACTGTGAAGAAGTTCTTCCTGATGTCTAACCTAAATCTCCTCTCCGTCAGTTTGTGGCCATCGTTCCTAGCTACTCCAAGGGCTGCCCTGGTGAACAGAGCATCTCCAATTCCTCGCTGTCCCCCTTGATGAATTTGTAGGCAGCCACAGGATCACCTGTCAGCCTTCTCTTGTGGAGGCTGAAGAGATCCAAGGCCCTCAATCTCTCCTCCTAGGGTTTTGCCTGTCCAACCATAGGAGTGGCCCTCCTCTGAACCCTCTTGAGGTTGTCCAACTCATTGTATTTATATAATTACAATTTGAAAGCCTACCAGTGCCTCAATCATTATAATAAAATGATTTATTTTATTTTGTTTTTTATGCCTCACTTTGGCAGCCATGGCAGCATGGTGCTCTGTCCTGTGCCAGGTCTGGCCCTGCTGCAGCACCCACTGCATTCCTCTGTGGGCACAACCCCCTGCCAGTGTTGCTAGGGCTGGTCTCCATGGAAGCCCTGGCGACACATTGTCACAGCCCTGCCATTGCTGGGATCTCCACAGCCACTGCTGGGATCTTTGGAAAATTGTCTGCAGTGACACGGACAGGAGCTGCTGGAAAGTGGAGTCTCCAT